CACAGTTCTTATTTAACGCTAAGGAAAATCTTTATACATAAGAGAACTGACCACTCGCTATGTGTGCATTTACGAAGCGGGAGTATCACGGCGGACACAGTGCTCGTACCGAAAGAGTTAATATACACAATCTTTCTTTATATTTCTAAAAACGCTGCATACTCTGCGTCCATGGTTGAAAGAGTAACTGATGCTTGTTTCTTTGATCTCCAACTAATCGGGCTGCCCGCTAACATAATCAAGTTACCGATGTTCGGTCGTCGATGTCGCCTACCCAACTCGAATCTGTATATGTCATAAGTTTTTCTTTATTTTTGGTGTATGTGATTCCGTAATTTGACGTCGCTTTTGAGTATCCTTAGCATACGTTTAGCTAAATTCCAATGCGCAACACCTGACTCGGAATTAAATCTACACAGTATTCCAGCAGCATATAAAATATCTGGTCTTGTCGCATTAGATAAATATATCAACCGTCCATTTAACTACCTATATGGCTCCATTCATCTTTTTTCTTTCTACTTCCGTCGATGGTTGCATCTCATTGGAAATTTTCGTGTTTGACAATTGGAGTTGATACCGTTTTCGCATCTTGCATATTAAATTTAGTTACTATTGCATTCGTGTGTTTTTCTTGTGAATGTCTAATATTACCTGTTAGTTCATTTCTTTCAACTTTTATTCCCAGAATTTCTTTTATAGATCCCAGGTCTGTCATTTCAAATTCTGCATTTAATACACATTTTATTTCATTTAATTTTTCTAAACATTCTGAAGTTAATATATCATCTATATGAATAATCACTATAATTTTTTCATTTTTCCCAAAAAAGCCTACATAAGGATCTGTTTCTGTGCTATAGGCTCCTTTCTTTAAAACATAATTATTTAACCTTTTGTGCCATTCACGTCCAGATGGTTTCAGTCCATGTAATGGTCTTTTTTACTTTACAAAATTTTTCTTCTTCTCCGGATTTCACGAATAATTCGAGCTGTTCCACATATACTTCGACGGCTAGATCTTCTTGAACATATGCTGATACGATATCCATGTGACATACGTGCATTTCACAATTCAGCTGCTGCTGACAATGTTCTTATTAATTCATACCGTGAAAAATGGGCGAAAACTTCTTCGTCTATTCCTTTACGTATGCTTTATTGTGACTTATCTTGCTTTGTATTTGTTTATGGAACTGATAGCATCTGCTATTTATGGAATTGATAGCATCTGCCCATAATGATTAGGGAAAATTGCTTGATTCATATTATACCTCATGCCATCTCGACTAGAGTTCGATTTGTGTATTCTGCAACTACGTTCTCCTATGGACTATACTTTATGCTCAGTTGACGTCTAATTCCTTCATTTTCTAAGAATTCCATGATATCTCTTGATAAATGTTCCTTTGCGTCATCTGTTCATAAACATTTTATTATACAGCCTGTTTCTTTTTCAACGCGTCGTTTGTACATTTTAAAAGCTTCGAAGACTTCCGATTACTTTACAAGTAATAGAGATAACGTAACAAGATAATATTACAGTTTCCGTGTATCTAGTGCTATCATCGTTAAACGTAATCGTAACAAAATACTTCGCAAGTCCTAAAGATTCTGTTTTCATTAGACCACAAATTTCCGAATGTTTCAAAGACAATTTTTCAGTTTTCATTAGATACTCCTTTATATAGTTGTTGACAAATTTTTGCTTTATAGCGTATCTCATACTCTATCTTAGATATATTTGAACGTAAATTCATTTCGTAGACCATTTCAAGCGAGAATAGTTTCTTTAAATCAGTTATATTTAAGTGACTTAAACTCTGATGCCACCTTATAGTATTACTATCTTCACGGTTCACGCACATTACGCGACGTTTATTCTGATTTACTATATATAATTGTCCATACTTTGTTGCTGACAATACAGCTGTATCGTCCGCGTGTTTCACTACCGCATTGTTTCGACCGAAATTCATCTTGAGAGGCTTTAT